ACTTTGACTAATTCGCGAATTCATTTCAACATAGCTTATGCCTCGTTTAAAGCTATAGAAAACAAAAATACCGGGGAAGATGTTCAATGGTTAACTTACTGGTAACGACTCAACTTTTTAAGATATCGAATTTTTATATTTCTTTTTATGTTGACCTTGTGATATATCTAATCATGTATAGGACTGTGTTCGGTTTTATGAAAATATTTGAATTCTTTTCCGACATTATTCTATATTGGAATCCATTTTACTTTTTCTTCAAGTCCATATTTTTCCTTTGGTGAGCTTTTATCTAAAATGTTTCCTATATTAAATTCGTTTATAAATTCACCTGAACCTGAAGTCAAATATTTCACATCTTCTATGTTCATAATAGGCTTTTCCTTCCACCCTTTAATGGTGCACAGACCATCTACATAAAATTATTAAGACCAGCTCTCGTGGGTTAAGATTTTAAGTGTTTGAAAATTCGGAGAAACAATTGACTCTACTTCCAATAATACAAATGTAACTACCATACTGCATATTAAATGATTTTATTATAATTATATTAACTCATAGTGACAAATAAATATTGTATTTCGTTTTTTTTTTTTTGTTCGAAAATTATCATGAATTTATTTAAATTAACCACCTATATAAATTTATAGAAGTGATCAATGGTTCATGGCTAGCTTACATGAGCAGACCTTTATATGTATTAGTGAAAACGAAGAATTAAAGTTGACTACAAATTTATTGATTACTTTCTGTAATTTATGTAATCTACAAAATTTCTGAACGGCAAGAAACTTGTTCGTATAAATGTTTATGAAATTATTTATGTTATCTTAGCACTATGTTTCTGATTAAATAACAAGTAGTAATTGAGAAAGATAAATTAAATTTTTTGATTATAAACTTTCTTTGACAAAGTCTATTACAGTTCAACTTTCGCAACAGTCTCGATAAAATCTGGAAATTTATGTACTTGTTGCGGGATTACAACTAATGTAAGCAAATTTTTATGTGGCTATAAGATATTGTGACAAATGCAGGAGTAACTACTACAGGAATTGACAGTATCTTATTACAAAGCTACGTGGGTATAAAATTCTAATGAAAATAACTTGGTATATTACTAAAAAAAAATAATTTATAAAAAATCTTCTAAAAAGATTTTCCAAAGCTCAAAATAAAATTCTCAATTGTTTATCTGAAAAAAAAAAAATAATTCAAAAAATCATGATTGCGCACTTGTAAATATAGCTACACAAAATCCAAAATTATTAAAACGACAACCAACCAAATCCCAAATTAATCTCATTTTTTTAGTAACTTTATTAATAATTTTAATTTAAACACTTAAATTTCTACGTAAAAAAACATTTAAGGCCTCTCGTTGAAGCTTGTTTGAATCTTTTTTATAATTCTACCAAGTGTACTGCAGTAAGTCTAGCGATAGATCAGAATTATGATGTAACAAGTTACAATTTTTCTCCATGAACCGGGTTTACGCAACTTTTATCCAAATAATGTCAACGATAATCCTGTATTTGTCAGTGAGTACCTTATGCTAGAGACGCTCCTAATCTATATAATAATTTATATTCTCGAAGTGAAGATTGGACTTCGACCACAAGATTAAGATCGTCACAAGTCCTCTATGGAAAATGTTAAATGGTGTTTCATGCATTTGATGCCTATAATAGTTAACTTCTTTAATATTAGGATAAGGTATAGTTTATAGTAAATTTAGCAAAAAATATTTTTACTTAATATCCCTGTAGGCGGTTTCATAATTTTGAATATAGAAGGGTGTACCGAATGCATGGGCACCATATAGCAATATCCTAAATCTAATTTTTTTGTGATACTAAACAGCCAAATAAAATTTAAGCTGTTTGTTTTTCAATGTATAATGCAAAGAATTTATGAAGTAAATATGTGATGTGTCGTTTTTAAATTAGTAAATCATTCATTGACAAATATCATCTTTTTAATATTCGCTAATTGAAAATAATCCGTAATAACGTATAAAATTGATTTTCAAGTTTATAAATGACCTAAATCAATTATAACGAATCCTCATCTATATTCAGAAAACTTATAAAATCAAATTTTCTTAAACACGATGTTCATTTTATATATTAATAATTTTATTTATATAAACCTACACACTAACCCTAAAGTCATAAAAAATTCTACATCCACTTATTGCGCTTTGCAAAATTGGGCGACCCCTATTATTATTATTATTATTATTATTATGTGATTGAGATTACGATGGTGCTTATAAAGCTGGCCAATTTTACAAAACGCAATAAATTCCGTTCCCAATTACAACAGATATACAGTATATGGAATGAAAATGGATTATTATCAAAAAAAAAAAAAAAGGCTGATTAGCTATATTAAAAACAAAAACTCTCTTGACGTCTAATTAAATTTCATGACACATTAATTATAAGAAAAGCCTACAAGGATGTTTAAAATTAAATAAATCATTGAGTTTAAGTATGGGTTCGGTCGGTCACGGTCAGTCATTATCGGTTACAGTTATTACAGTATTATCATAATTCCTGGGACACCTGTAAAAATTGGCCGAACGATTTTTCGGTCAATTCGGTTAAGTTTGTGATTTCGGAAATAAATAACATTACGGCGCATTTGCGAAATTAATCGGGCAATTGGTCACCAAATCCAAGTATTTGGTCCTTAAAATTAAATTTTAGTTACCAGATAATATGGGGGG